AGCCCTCGTGTAGCTTTGCGCGAAATTCCAAAAAACAAAACAAACAATCAGTACTGTTTATTCAAGAGTTAACTCAAACTCCAGGCCTTTAAGTTATGCTGTTTGTCAGATACATTTTTCATCTTTCTAGCTTGTCTAGAAATAATTATTTTAGTAGCAAGCTCATAAACGTTATCAAAGGGTAGTAGTAGCAAGCTCATAAACGTTATCACAGGGTAGTAAAGAATCATTAGGATTCAATCCGTCTACGTACAGTGTTTTAAAAATTACATAAATTGTATGAATATTACAGTATCTTCTTCTTAAGCATAGAATATACAGCATTGTTGTTCAGGGAAATAACAGTAAACCCTATTGATGACAATTAATTTAAACAGAATATAATATAGAGGTTTGGTTATATAAACAATTATCGTACGCATGCGCTGAAACAAACAAAATGTTTAAAATGTAAAATCCCAAGCAACACTGATCAGTGTATCGTAATTACTTCATTATCATTACAAACAAGCTGTATTATAAGAATTAATTGCAAAATGTTATAGCGGTAATAGTTTGGCTACGTCATGAATAAAACACAAAATACAGAAATACTGATTATTGACAAATAGAGAACAGTAATAAAGTCAGTATTCAATCAGTAAGTCTATGGATTTACAACGCTAAAATCAGGGGTTAGATTCTTCTAGGTGGTCACAGCAGATAGCCCGATATTGATTTGGTATGGACACACACTTTTGTCCCGGCATGTCCAGGTGGTTAGGGCGCTCGACTCGCAATCTGAGGGTCGCGGGTTCGAATCTCCGTCCCACCAAACATGCTCGCCTTTTCAGACGTGGAGGCGTTATAACGTGACGGTCAGTCTCACTATTCGTGAAAAAGAGTAGCCCAAGAATTGGCGGTGGGTGGTGATGACTAGCCGCCTTTACTTTAGTCTTTGTTAATTAGAGACGGCAAGCCCAGATAATCCTCGTGTAGCTTTGCGCGAAATTCAAAACAAACAGACAGTATTCAATCGTTGTATATATCCCCACCAGACAAACATCCCCATTGAAGTCTTATATGGACAGGCGGACATTCTATGGATTAAGCACTTTATCGAGGCTTTAATAAGTTAACAATTATTTAATGATTGTTTTGTGACATTCTAAGACTATACTTTTTATTATAAAGATGATACACGAGGTTTTTGTACTGAGTATATTTTTATGCAATTCTCTCATGATATAGAAGTGGTATTGTTTCTATTGATCTGTCTAAAGTAATTTACATGTCGCTTGTCATCATAACTTTAGCGATGAGCAGATATTCATGGCTGTAATGTGTCTATTTGTATCACTAAGAGAAAATTCAAATAAATCAAATTCAAACTCACTTTATAATCTGTTTAAACAAATTCAAACTCAGTTAATAATCTGTTTAAACAAATTCAAACTCACTTAATAATCTGTTTAAACAAATTCAAACTCACTTTCTAATCTGTTTAAACAAATTCAAACTCACTTAATAATCTGTTTAAACAAATTCAAACTCACTTTCATAATCTGTTTAAACAAATTCAAACTCACTTTAATTATTAAGTGAGTTTGAATTTGTTTAAACAGATTATAAAGTGAGTTTGAATTTGTTTAAACAGATTATAAAGTGAGTTTGAATTTGTTTAAACAGATTACTGTTTAAACAATATGCTTGATTTTTTTAATGCTAGTTTAATTTTAACCAATATTTTTAGCATAAGGTATTTATTTTGTAAGTGCTGATTTTTAACTATATATTTATATTATGATAATTACTTTACATTGTTAGCCTATTATATGGATATTATTGGGATTATGGCTGTAACTAGCGCTAACAGCAAGGGTACCCAAGTTATGAATCAATACAGTTTAATCATTACAAATAATAGAGGTATGTTGAATTAGCTATATTCATTACTGGTTTAATTTTTAACTTGGGTCATGTAGCTAGCTTGCTTTAATCAGAAGTTAGTATTAACATGTAGCTAGCTGGCTTTAATCAGAAGTTAGTATTAACATGTAGCTAGCTTGCTTTAATCAGAAGTTAGTATTAACATGTAACTAGCTTGCTTTAATCAGAAGTTAATATTAACATGTAGCTAGCTTGCTTTAATCAGAACTTGGTATTAACACGTAGCTAGCATGCTTTAATCAGAAGTTAATATTAACATGCAGCTAGCTTGCTTTAATCAGAAGTTAGTATTAACATGTAGCTAGCTTGCTTTAATCAGAAGTTAGTATTAACATGTAGCTAGATTGCTTTAATCAGAAGTTAGTATTAACACGTAGTTAGCTTGCTTTAATCAGAAGTTAGCATTAACATGTAGCTAGCTTGCTTTAATCAGAAGTTAGTATTAACATGTAGCTAGCTTGCTTTAATCAGAAGTTAGTATTAACATGTAGCTAGCTTGCTTTAATCAGAAGTTAATATTAACATGTAGCTAGCTTGCTTTAATCAGAAGTTAGCATTAACATGTAGCTAGCTTGCTTTAATCAGAAGTTGGTGTTAACATGTAGCTAGCTTGCTTTAATCAGAAGTAAGTATTAATTTTTTGTCATTAAGTATATCAATATAGAATACCCGTGCCCCCTTATGATTCATAGAAGCTAGAACGTTTCATTCAAGCTCCCGAATGATATTTAATTACTTTTATAGCTACGACAAAGGGAGAGGGGAGTATTCGTGGCCGAAATTAAACCCCCTTAGTTGGCACCTGAGGACTTGTGCCATAACTGTTTCTGCTAACTTGTAAGCGGGGACATGAAAATAGTTGAAAACATGTCGCCCTCGGGATTAAGCGATCACGAATCTTTTCTCTTAGACACCATCATGCTTAAGTGTATTTTCGGGCACATTTTAGTGCCTCTTGGTATCCCTTTGTGAGGGGGCTATAGCTACACAATCTTTATCCGCAAAAGAAACACGTTAGGGCATCTGTCTGAGGCAACTGAATACGTGTGACAACTTTGGTTCAGCTAGCATGTAAGATGGGGTAGGAACAATATAGTTTCATACATTGCGAATTTGAAATCCTAAGAGGAACCACGAACACAATATTCGATCCAGATTTAAGTCAGCTAACCATAATATATATTTCTATAGCGTCATCATGCATGGATGACCTTTAGGGTACGTTTTAATCCCTTTGATAAAGGGCTACACCACGTAATTAACTAAATCAGCCGGATAACTCCGGATCTATCTGCCGGGTTTGGTCCTGCTAACTCCACATTTATGGAAGGAGTTCGCGAAAAAACAAGCAAACAAATACACGAACAACGTGAAATAATATATGTGTATAACTCGTGAATTTTGAAAATTGCAGTTGTACTTCATGACATCAGTGTGTGATAAACACATAATTTCAGTATCGTTGTATTATATAAAAGAGGATATTTTTTGGAATTAATTTCCTTAACTTTTAATTTAGAATATGTGTAAAAAAAAAGGTTTTGGTTTTACTTTTCGTTCAGTAATTACTGCATATATATTCCAAAACACGACCTCAAATTATACACAAAATTATAATCGTATAATTTAGCCGCTATAGACGTTTGAGTTATAAATCACCTTTCACAATGACATAGGGAGAGTATCACCTGAAAGTAATAAAAGCTCCTCACATGCACGAGGGACCGCTGTAACTTTTGATTTATCATAGTAGATGATCTTTGTCAGCAGTGAAAAAGAAGAGTTTTGTAACGGAAAAGACCAGTGACGCTTCTTTTGTTTTAGTCAGGATATTTGATGACTAAGCTTTCAGCCCTTAAGTATAAAACAGCTTTAATGTAATGTGTATTCTGAGCTAGAGTAGGGAGCACATGTATATATAAAAACAAGCTCCAGCCGTGTCTGGAATCAAAAGGATCTTGTTAGAATAATTACGCTATCCTTCAACAGAGTGTATTCTATATCCAAGCAGAAATGCCCATTCATTATGCTGGTTATTTCTAAAGTCTATTCTAATAAATTACATTATATGCAATATTACAGTAACGTAATGCATAAGAATAGTAAAAGCTGGATATTTGAAGGCGTATTAGGAAAGAATGGTGTACATGTATATATATATATTGATAGATTTTTTTCTTCATTAGATTACTGATAAGAAGATCTTCCTATATCTACGTTTAAAAATGGGCATTTTCGAAATGGAATTTATCGCAGCGACATCTATCCTTTGTGCGTTAACAAGTATTTTAAGTACTGGCTGTGCAGAAGGTAAGTTTTTAAAGATACATATATATGTTAATATATTTTACTCAATCAATTCGCATAAAAATTTCAATTAAGACTTAGTTTTACTGCGAATTATTCTGTTATAATATGATATATACCATATTGTTATAATAGGTTTTATATTGTCAATTTCATGTTGTGTTTAAAAGATTATGTCCGAGAGTTGATAAAGTTATGGCTTGATGCTTATAAAGGTTTATCTTAAATGCGAACTATTATCAACTTAGTAATAAAACGAAGGGAATTTTTGTTTTCATAAAATAACATGACCATTTTAACCACTACACGAATAAGAGACATCTATTAGATAAATAAAGTAATCACAGATGTAAAAAAAAACATTATTAACTTACTCATAGACACAAACAGATTCCTTTAAAGAAAAGCTCAAATGTAGATACTAGTTAGCTTTTTTAGTCATCACTGCAGCGCCCCCTTTATTCCCTATATTTTCGCTCTTGTAAAAATAATTGTTTCTAATTTTCTGTTACCTATAATGTTCCCCCCCCCCAGTGGCACAGCGGAATGTCTGCGGACTTACAACGCTAGAATCTGGGTTTCGATACACGTGGTGGG